AAGGTCATCAAGCTGAGCTCGGACAGTCTCCTTTAAGCGAGGCGAGATGTCCAGGTCTCTGCCCCACAGACGGATGATCACCCGCGTCAGCTTTGGAGATCAAAGTCGTATGGCCAATTTGACCGCCAAATATACTCTCGTATCTGCGCAGTGCAGCAAACAGCGCCTGGCGTTGAGTGGCGATCAAAGAGGATCCACTCAGGTCTACCATGCTCTCAATATCTACAGAGGTCTTGGCAGAGACCAGACCAGAGCCAGGCTTGCTCACAGGGTCTGACATGGCATGTTCCACGAAGCTCACAGCCAAGCCTGTCATGTGGGAATGTTTGGGAACAGTGGTATGCTCTGTAGTGACATTCCGGTCGGCTGCCGGTATTGAAGAGCCAGACACACTCACGGACGATCGGATGACCTCGGTTACGGATCACTCGGGGACGGCTCCACCACATTCGAACAATGCTGATCACTGTTACTGACACCACGAACACACGCGCCTCGCTGGCATCAAAAGTTTACGGGACGGGTCGGCAACGCACGGCACCGTCTGTAGGAGATCCATCCCGAGCAAACACGGCACGTCTGTGGGATCAGACGCATACAGATAAACACTCGTGTTTGACCGCCCACGTGGAGAGCGCAGCGACTCTGCCCAACAAAGGCAGCGGATCGAGAGTCGCCGTCCTGGCACGCGACGATGTCTGAGGCAGCTTTCCCTGCGGCATTGCATCCGGATCAGGCTTGTGTAACACACTGATCATGAACCCAGTGCCCGACAAACAGCTGCACGGTGTCCCACCTGTATCAGCAGAGAAGGTCAAGTTATCGCCGAGAGGAGCACCACCGGATATCGGAGGGGAGGCGGGCTCACCCGCCACACCAGAAGGCTGCATGGCGGCCGATCCTCTCAATGCTAGTCTGCTGTTGGGGCTCGTCCCCAACGCCGGTGTGGCACGGGATCCCCTCGTACGTTTCCCGGCACAGTCGCTGGACACGCTGACGACACATGTCCCCTCTGATCACATCGAAAACAAACTCTGCACCGGTGACGACACTTGGCGATGAGGTGTGCAAGACTGCCACGCCCGAAGCAGACACATTCCCGGGAAGAGCTCCCCCTCCCCCCCCCCCCCCCCCCCAGCAGGTTGCCAAGGCGTCTGGCCTTCGAGCGTTGGGGTGTCGGCCGCTGCGCCACGTGCAGAGTCAATGAGGTTCAACCGAGTATGGCCAGATACAACACACCACTCCAGTTTGTCCACACGGGTCATGATCTGGTCAGACATAGACGGCTCGACCGAAGCTACCTGACGCTCGGCACTTGAACGGAATTGATCAGCCCGCAATACGTTGCGGGCCCCGGCAACGGCGTATGCAAACGTGGTCACGCCTTCCGACGCAATGTCCAATGGTAGTCTTCTGGCAAAGTGGCCAGGAAGCAGCAAAAGAGTGCAATGTGCCGTCACTGCCCGGAAAAGCATCTTGAACGAGTTTGCGAAATTTAATCAGAAAAACATCCAGAGGTTCCCGGGGATCAAACATGGGCTCTCAGAGCCTGCCACAGGCGTCCACAACACTAGGTCTGGCGACAAATCGCAGAGACCGGACACGGCTTGATTGTACGAAGCATGCAGGGCTGGGACATGATGTCACACGCGTCACAGGCAACTCCCGTGAGACAAAATGACAGGACGCGCAGGCGAATGCCATCATCAAGGCTGTGAAGGGAGAAGAAAGTCTCCAAATCAGACAATCTGGCGAACAAACCATTCCCAGAAGGTTTAGGGGCGGCCAGCGAAAACCCACTAACTAGACCAGCCACAGCGGGCGCGGTCAGGATCTGTCCACCCTCCATATCGAACTGCTCCTTTGGGTCAGTCATGGTGCACACCTACCTAGACAAGTAAATCCACGCCGTCCCGACAATTGAAACCCAAAAAATCGCATCAAGTTAAACAACCGTTACTAAGCTACCTAGCTTCCAATACAGGCGGATGAGCGACAGAATAACGCCATACGGCCCGACACAGCGGCGACTCGGGCCGACACCCAAGCACGGCAGTGTCTGCTGATGACCCGTCGCGGCAGCGCCGGCAGACGATCCTGCGCACCATCGCCGACAGTCAGCGCAGCAGCGCCGACAGAGGGCCAGCGTAGCTGCGCCGGTAGTCAGCCAGAGCAATGGCGCCGACAGATAGCCAGAGCAGCAGCGCCGACAGACAGTCAGCGCAGTAGCGCCGGCGGACAGTCAGCGCAGCAGCGCTGATAGAAAGTCAGCGCAGCAGCGCCGACGGAGAGTCAGCGCAGCAGCACCGGTGGTCGGTCAGAGCAGCAGCGCCGGCAGACAGTCAGCACAGCAGCGCTGATAGAGAGTCAGCGCAGCAGCGCCGGCAGAGAGTCAGCGCAGCAGCGACGGCAGTCAGTCAGCGCAGCAGCGCCGACAGACAGTCAGCGCAGAAGCACCGGTGGTCAGTCAGAGCAGCAGCGCCGGCAGATGGACAGCGCAGCAGCGCCGACAGACAGTCAGCGTAGTAGCGCCGGCAGTCAGCCGGCGCAGCAGCGCCGTTACACGATTCAGAGCGGCAGCACCAGCAGGCGCCGTAACATGGCAGCGCGACAGGCGAAATCAGTAGCGGATTGGTAGCACGGCAGACAACCGGTACCGCCGGTAAAATACTGGCTGGCTATCCTCGCGCAGAGGACTACTTAGTACATGGTAACGAAGGATAACTGTCGTCGCAAAATTGACCGCTCTCACCTACATCAGAAGCGTGAAGAGCCGCTGCTACCAAATGTAGCCGTGAAAAATCACACCCTATCTCAAGGTGTCATTATATTTAAGCCGAGCCCCGCCCACGCTGGCCGTCCAACCCCGATTCGGCGCTCGCTCCGCCGCTCGCCCGCCCGGTCAGTGCCCCGACCCGGCGCGTGGCCGCGGGCATGAGCCGGCCGGGCGCCCCTGACACATAGGCAGCCCGCAACGCACCGGGCTGCGGCCGCCCCCCCCCCCCCCCCCGCTACACATGTATTCCGCCCAACGTCGAGGAGAATACCAAGCCTGGCCGTCCCCCGTGCGGATCGGTGGAGGAAGGCGGCTTGGAGGATAACTTAATGCAAGGATTATTGATCTTGTACCCTCTTGGGGTATGTATGGCCTGTAAGTACCGCGTACCTAGGAACAGGGGCCTAGCCAAAATAAAGCAGTTAAATTTGTCCCGTCTGTGTCAGGCATGCTACCAAATGTTTTTTAAGGGTTTCCAAAAGTTTCGGCAGGAAATGATCCGGCGTCACACGTTTCCATGAAATCATTATTTCTCTTACAGTCAGCCAACTGCAATTTTATAAAAATACGCGTCTTCACAGACGTTATTTAAATCGGTAAAAAACATTTCTAGGCTGAAATCACAGAGAAAAGTTCTGTCGTTAAAAAATCAGCGCTGGGAGCTCTAATTCTTTGTCGAAACTTCTCACTGTATACACCACGACAACAGCCACTGCGTGACATCTTTAAAAGATAACTACCCGATGTTTTGCAAACGTTTTATCGATGCACGTAACCGCTTACATAATTTTCCCAAAATCTGTTCCCGGCCCAGACTGCGAGCCGTTCTCTATGGTTGCCCATACCTCATCCGTCAAGTCTCAAAGTACATGTACGAAGCACGAAATAATGTAGAATGGAGACAGCATAGCATGCCGCTTGATTTTTATAGTGAAAACCAGCACCGTAACTTAATTGTAATTCTAATGTGAGTCCACTGGTTAGATCAAGACTACTACGCACGCAGCACGACGTCCTTTGACTGTGACCGCACCTTAGCTAAAGCAGGAACTTTTTTGCAGTTTGCAGACGAATGTATTTTCAGTTCATTGCAATCTGGCCGGGTGATTGCAACTTCATTATCTTTAAGGCCGCAAATACTACCGTTCAGGTCGAACTTGAGCTGTACGAGAACGCTTTTCCTACGTTATAAGTGAATCAGGCTCGAACGTGAACGCCAGTTTTCTTGAATAGGTCCTCAAGAGCTTATATCGTCCATCTCTAGTTGTTATTTTTGTGTAAATCTCTCAACAGGCCAGCAGTCATTGCTGTCGAAGCATGTTTGGACCACCTACAGCATTACAACAATATAGCTTCAAATATTTGATAACCTATGGATCTCCGGTCAGGTATTTTGTTCGTAACACTCTGACCACATTCCCTCAGTGTTCGTGCGAACTCACCCAAAACACATTTGTTGCATTCGAGATTATTCCGATCCAACTAAGTCCCGGCAGACCTCAGACTGGGCCCATGAGTAAGTTTCACTTTGACGGCAGCGCGGTTTGCCATTTTGTATGCTTCACGGGGTCTACGGCTGTCCAATAGCGGCATTTTTAGCCGTGTGCCACTGGCGATGCGTGGAAACAATGGCGTTAAAACCGCGAAATATCCGTTTGAAGTCCCATCGTTGTTGGGGGCGTTGCCTCCGCCAGGCGTGAACAGCCGCTGTGGCGCAGCCGCCACGCAGCGCTTCGAATTAGCTGACCAAGCATCTCAAGCATCTCTCCTGTAATTGACAAGGCCAGCAAATAGGTGACTTGGCTTCTCACTTGAAGCATTTATGTGTGAAGAGACAAACTGTTTACCGCCTTACTTTTATGAGGAAATATAACCGAACTAATTTGATCTTAGGTTTCAATGACAATGACACAGATGCACCTTTAATTTTCGTGAGCTAGCAACACAAATTCCTTGGGAACTATTTATGTGCTTACCTCTGCAGGAGACATATTATCCTTTAACAGCATTCGCTACCATAAACTACAAGCCAAACAATTCAACAATTACCACAAAATAAGCAGAAATGCGTTCTTTATCCTGAAAATCACTTCTTTCGTGTTCATTACACTCAGGGTCCGAAATGCCGACGCTTTCTACGCAGGGGACAGCTAAAATGGTTCTCGGTGCACAGTTTGCAATGATGCAATGGAAGCCGTTGAACGCTGGATTCTTTGCGTTTCAGATAGCCCGTTGGAGCCGGAGGACGCACGACCTTTTCCACCAGCTCTGGCGGGAGGGCGACTGTCCGGGCATCGGCCTGTTCAGCGGCTCAGACGCGTCGCCTGAGCCCACTGCCCACGATACCGTCCCCTTCTTCTGCGGCGAGCTCAGCAGCGACAAACACCCGCAGGTGGCGCTACAGTCGCAGATGACGTCACCGTCACAGGTGGCGCCACAGTCGGGTGGGAAGCCGAACGCGAAGTCGCAGTCGCAGGTGGGGCCGCAAACGCTAGTGGCGCCACCATCACCAGTGGAGCGCCACTGCCAGTATGTCACGTTCTACGCCGAGCCCGCCAAACTGCTGCCGTTTCTCCTGGCACGCTTCCGAGAGCGGGGCGGCGCCACCGTCACTACCACTGTGACGGCTCTTGCCGAGCTGGCAGCTTATGACGTCATCGTCAACTGTAGCGGCCTGGGAGCACGCGAGCTGGTCGGCGACCTCGGCGTGTACCCGATCCGAGGGCAGGTCGTCCGCGTGCGTGCCCCGGCCGTGAAGACGTTCCTCGGCACCGACACGCACTACGTGATCCCGAACGACGACGTGGTGATCCTGGGCGGGACGGCGCAGACCGACGATTGGCGCCGGGCGCCGGACGCCGCCGACACGGCGCGCATCCTGGCCGGGTGCTGCCGCCTGGTGCCGGCGCTGCGCGACGCGCCCGTGCTGCGCGTCTGGGCCGGACTGCGGCCGTACCGCGCGGGCGGGGTGCGGCTGGAGCTGGAGCGGCGCGCGCTGGCCGGCCGATCCGTACCCGTCGTGCACAACTACGGCCACGGTGGGGCGGGGGTGACGCTGTTCTGGGGCTGCGCCCTGGACGTGGCGGTGCTGGTGGCGGCGGAGGTGCGCCGGCTCGGCCGCAGCAGGTTGTAAGCTTGGTCAAGCTCGGGCGTGGCAAAATGTGCCCAGCCGCGTGACAACGGGAGGGCACGGGAGGGGGGGGGGGGACAGGTGAAAGGTTGTGAGAAGAGCAGCAGACATGACCAGCCTTGGTTAGCAGACGACGCATAGTCTATAAGTGAATCTTTGTCAGAGCATGCATCAAAATGATCTGGAGTGCAGGTAGGTATGCTGACGTGTCGCATTATGGGATTGGGAACATAGTATATTGGATTGAACACGGATGGAACCTGGAATAAAATGTGGGGTGCAGAACTTTCTGCAATATTTTTCATGCAAATTGGTGGTGGCACGATGTAATACTGAAACATAATATGAGCAGGAGATTTGAACAAGTCCACAGGCATTCAATGTGCATTGCTCACATTATGGACCAGCCAACGGCACCCTGACAAAAACAGTCCGCAATATGATCGCGGTTCATGTGGAATGGAGCAAACTTGCATTGAAAACAAGCACTGCGTATAGCATGACCTGCTTAAAGCACGCGAAGTTCGTCGTGTAATCGAATGAAATCATCGAATCAAACCATCATATCGCAGTTACAGCCACGCGCTCCCACGCTTCTGTTGTTTGCACGGCTCACATGTAAATTAAAATGCGATGTAAGAGTTCGGTGAGCTTGGTTAATTTGTGAACAGGAGACTAAGCACCCCACGTACATTGCAGAAGCCAAGCATAATATCAACGATTTAATGAGATGAGCGTACGGTCTGATTTAGTGAGGATGTTGCGGTAGCTCCCACGGCTTGAAGGATAGCCGCTTGTGTATGACGCAGGTTCTTGAAACATCATCGACAACAATTCAGGTAGCTACTTTGCCAATGGTGAGCGCCGCCCAGATGAAGCCTTCGAGACCACCCTTACAGAGTGAAGGGCAAAAACGTCCGTCCATGTATGGCAATAGTTCATGTAAGGTAATGGTTCGTGCACAGTAAGCTGTCGTTCCAGGTGGCATACACCTGTCATATAATGCCACACATGCATATAAACGTACTACTGGTAAGCGGATATCGGTCCTCCACATCACACCTGTATCTTATTATATTCACTCGCCGTTTGGTTACCACACGCAGTGGCCTAAAACCCGGCCAAATTTTGATATGTATTGCACCCCAAACGTGCGGCACCGAACGTCCGTTGAAAGCCCCCCTTCGTCCCCGCTCAGGTATCCCCAGTGGAAGCGTCGGTCTCGTCGAACCGGCACCCGTCCGTGAGTCTGTTACAGAGTGAACGATGATGGCGGTCTGGGGACTCGGCACAAGACGCGTCTGTCAGTGAACGCTAACCGGTGGCTGATAGGTTGAGATAGGAGGCATGCGTGGTTCCTTGACATTGATACTCACGACGTATGAGCTCCGACATCGCACTCATGCCATCTCAACACCATCAGAAGCAGAGGTAAACACAGGCACCGGCGAGCCCTCATGAGGACCTGACCGTCTCAGATGGCACCCAGTGTCCCCCACGCACGAGAGTACCGGGAGCGTCTGCTGGCGCCTGGAACTAACGTCTCCACCGCCAGGAAGGCTGCCGAGTGTGCACAGAGCCAGCGCAGGCAGACTGCCCCCGTGACCCCCCCCCCCCCCCCCCCAACCCTGGATCCGCCCCTGCCCGGTGTCCTCCACGCACGAGAGTACCGGGGGCAACCGCTATCACCTGACACTAACGTCTCCACCGCCAGGAAGGCTGTCGAGTGTGTGCAGAGCCAGCGCAGGCAGACGGCTCCCGGGACCCCTGTGAACACGGAGAGGCCTCTGTCACGGTACTCTGTCACGATACGCTGTCACGATAGGTAGATCGGCGGTGGAGGTCAGTCGCAGGGATTCCAGACGAGGAAAACTCCGCTACTCGGGATGCATACCGCGAGTCAAACAAACGATGGGTGGGAACGTGAGCCCAGATCTGCTGAGTCTTTTAAAGCAGGGACTTCCGAACGGCCCTAACTTGCATAAAATCAGCTAAGACGCCGCAAGCCTGCTCGTCAACGCGTGGCGACACATGGGCCCTAACAGCCGTCCAAAACAAGCTGAAAAATGCCGTAATACTTCACAACAAGACAGCCATTCCGGCAGGAAATATCACGAAGGTATCCGTATTCTGTGTCATCATCACCGTCACCTAACAGTCTTACAGCTGACAGGACATATTGGCAACAGACAGAATAAATGATCAGGGGGTCACCCTGGCCACCGGTGGTTGCCAACATCTTCCTTGAGTTCTTCGAGAACATGGTGTTGGAAACAGCGTCAGCCATGCCAACAGCGTGCCTTTGATAGGTGGAGGACATGTTCGTCGTCCAGCAACATCAAGATGACACGGTCAAATTGTAAAACCACACGGTCAGTGCACATCGGTCCAGTTCACCATGGAGCGAAAGGAAGCCATAACACAGCCGTTCTTCAATGCACACGTGAACGGAGCCGAGGCCGGCCTTGGGACATCATGAGGTCGTAAACCAACGGCAGCCCGCCGGCACCTCCACGTCGAACCCACCGCCTGGACGATATCAATACGGACATCGTGGTTTGCCTGCGACATCGTTCAGAAGACATCAGCACAACTGGCTTGGGCAAAAAATGGATATAAACCACCTCACTGGAGCGTTGTAGAGAAACCGCTAGCTGAAAGGCTTCATGAGGCAGAAGTCTGTATGATTTATTACGCAGCACCCTAAAGATAAACCATCTACGGTAATATCGCTTGCACGCACCAGCGGCCTGGCAGAAAAGGATTTAATTATTTGTGAGCGCTATATCGGAATCATCTTCTGAAGCGGCGAAACACTACTAAGAACTTGCGCCTGCGCCGAGTGCAGAACGCCAACGCCTGCCGAAAACACTGCCAACTGTCTTTTTACAATGTGGAAAATCGTACAGAAGCGGAACAGGTCATCAAGTGGTGGTCAGACTGCAGAAGCACATAAATCCAACCATCCTGAAGGAAAAAAAGAATACATGACAGAGTCTGCGTGGTTTGGGGCGGTTTTGGGAAGAATACCGATCAGCACGAGACGAAAAACCCATCACCGACAGAACGGACACATATGACATTAGCTTCTAACCCATGCAACAACACTAGTAAAGACATAAACCCAGAACAGTTGCGCACTGGAACAGGCGCAGATGCACTTGATGCAACCCTCACCGCTCACTTACCACGTGGGGCTCGGACTCGCGATAGCGCATCTTTAGGAACGTCAGGCATGCTCGATAGTATCAGCTGACTCAAGTTCGGATAAGGGGATTTATTGCAACATACTGTGATAGACAACAGACAGCAACAACGTACCTGAAATCAACCAAATCATGACAAAAATGGACTATTGAGCCGAGAATTACGAACGTCTTTGACGCCCAGCCACTTGAACAAGCAAGCCACAGCAGTGCACATCAGCAGCACTTACGTCCGTCAGCACTGTTCAGAATGCGGTCCAGCTAGCGCTTCACCTGGCAACCGCACTGGTGTTTGCCTATATCCTGTGGCGTGTTCTCGACTTACCTGCCTACCGATCAGCACAGGCGTCCAGGTGACACCTGTCGACCAGCACAGGCGCCCACACAAGGCGTCCAGGTGACACCGTCGACCAGCACAGGCGTCCAGGTGACACCTGTCGACCAGCACAGGCGTCCAGGTGACACCTGTCGACCAGCACAGGCGTCCAGGTGACACCTGTCGACCAGCACAGGCGTCCAGGTGACAGCTGTCGACCAGCACAGGCGCCCACAACACCGCCATCCAAGTTACAGAGGCTGCGGCCGCATGACCATGGCATTCTGCGACCCGACGGGCAGACTTCTGTTGAGTGTTTTTGGTCTGGGAAACCACATGCAAATTGGGTTCACTTGGATTCTCCCTGCATGCTACCGACCCGGCGCACAGGACTAGATGTACACGCGAACGGAGCCGACGGACTGGACCACTAATGTCACGTACTAGGTGACGCCTCTGAAGATGACTTTGGTAATCTAGCTTATTATTGCGATGACAATGCTCGCAACAAAGAGGAAACGATGTAGACCTGATGTAATGGAAGCTGTATTGGGTCTATGCTCCCATGTGTACTGCCTCCTTCATCTCTCTAGCTTTCGAGTGCTGCTCTCTGTCAATACTGGTTGTCTCAGCCAATGCGGATTGGTGTTGGCTTCTGACTGCGCGTACTCTGCCACACCAGGCTTTTGAAGTCTCGCCCCGGACGGTTGCCCTTCTGCGGTCTGATAGTCTGACCATCAGAGGGTGATTTGTCTCTGAACCTGCCACAGCCACAGCTGCACGGAATGACGCACCTGCATCTATTGGTACGTTCCTCAGGCGTCATTGGTCCGATTTTGGTAACTGTTCCGCGGAGCGTGGAACTGCTCACCAGGCTCCCCGTTCCTGCGGAATGCCTCGGTTAGGTAGTTCGGTGATTTCTGTGAAGTTGCATCACCGTCGCCATCGGCATAAGCGCGATGCGCTATGACCCGTTGCCAACTGTCAGGGCTCAGCCTTCCATTCGCTGAGCCAGTTCCTGGCTAAGATTATCAGTTTTTTAAGTGTAAGTAAGTTTCCAAGTTTTCTAATCATAATTCGTGGTGAGCTCAACACCTTTCGTGTCGTTAGTACCATCACCTACGTGCCCAACACCTGACACAAATGTATCCTCGCCATCGTCATGGCGCGTCTGTCCAACCACATACAAACACACAAAGCCTTAGCTGTTGTGCGGAACTGGTTGGAGAACGATGACGCGCTCTCCTGGAAAAAAACGCACCACATTCAACATCACGGAGGAACCCAAGTTTCATGTCATCACGACTGCGTTGCAGCTAAACGAATATGACCACGAGCAAGCAGAGGGAACGACCTAGGGATCCTCTGTCACCGGTGATTGCCAACATCTGCAAGGAACATTTTGAAAGATGGTGAGGGAACCTGCGGCGTTTAAGCCATCAGTTTTAGACTATTGTTTAAACGGCAGCTGAAGCTTTAGCTAAAAAAGTGTTCGCATTCAGTGCTGAGTGCATCAAAACGAGCAAACAGAGACGTGTTGAGCTTCTGCGTGGAAAAGGCAATGGAGCCGGAGGGGATCAGCGATTAGCAGACCAAAAAAATTATGACAAACATTACGAGGTCACAGTTCTGACAACAGTCAAATTTTTCAACTGGAGTCAAGATCTCGCACACCTTTGGCTAGTCAAGATGTGCAATAGGCGTAACTGCTCTCTAGTGTGCAATCTAGTTTCCCAAAAAAACTTTCCAAAAATTGAAGATCATAGTGATGGACCTGTCTCAATATCAAGTGATCCTTAACCGATTCATTCTAAATTTTTGGGAACGGGCCCTTTTATAATGGAAGGGGCCTCAGTGACCACTGGCCCATGGGTACTGGTCGTTGGAACTCCCCTCCCCAAAACTTTCAGTGAGCGATCTTCTTCCATGGTCGAGACACCATTTAACTGGGTATGCTTGCAACTGTAAGGAAAAAAATGCTCTTAAATATCTTCAAGATGGTTTTTTGAGAAAGCCATAGAATCTTGAACTTCGATGAAGAAAATACACATTGAGCCACCCGTGGATAACCTGGCGAAGTAAGAACCTTTTCCATCTTTTTGCATTTCACTGCGTCGTATTAATAAGATAGTGCTGAAAAACAGCACATTATTTTTCAAGGGGTGAATATCACCAAACTAATGCCTATGGTCTTGTTCTAGATGAATATATTATTTTCAATCATATTTATCAAAAGCTATATACAATATCAGTATCTACGGTCTCTGTAACAGTTGTTAAATACAAATCACTATAGTTCAGTTCCCACCTCTTCCTTTCAGTTTCCGCCGCTGACTTGGGTAAGTGTTGTGGGTGGTACGCGGCGTTAATTAGTGTGTTTAGGCTTGTTTGCGCGATTATTTTGTGTTCATGATGTTTTAGAAATTTAGGAGTGATCGTTGCGGTGAGTTTACAGCCTGCATCATAAAACTGTAAGAGGGGTTTCGTGCTTTGTCTAAGTTGCGTCCGCGCTACATTTGCCCAGTTGTCATTGGCCCACTGTTTTGGCAAGTGCAATGCACCGTATGATCGGGCTGTTCCTGGGTTGGTAACAGGCTTTATGTGTATTTTTCAGTCATTGGGTAATAAGTTGCCATCTTTCATCAAGATGGCATTATAAGGCCTCTTGATTGCTTTGCTACCTGTATGTAAGCCAGGCTTGTGTTAATGTTTGAAATGCCACTAGTGGGGTTTATGTGCAAAGGTGTCTGACTGGTTAGAGCAGGCAGGCTGGAACAGGGTTTAATTTCTATCTTAATGCTTAAACGATATGTGATTGTTGAAACCTATGTTTGGAGGAAGTTGGTGTGCTGTTTGGTATTCACCCAAGTATTATTGAGATATTGATCACAAGTGCATAGTTTTTTTCTAAGCATCATTTACTGCCTGACCTGAGTAGTATTACTTAGTGCCTTTGGGTGCTTGGGATGGTCATATTGTTTCCATGGGTAACTCCTGATAAGCATCCTTAGTTTAACATATACCACTGTATGTTATATCATATTGTTATATTAAGCTTCAGCACATTTGATTTGGTAGTTAAGTTCACCAGGATCTCATTTCCCATCAACAAGGTACCTACTAAAGCTGCTACCTATGATGTTGCAAGTCCACACATTATACATGTGCAACTAGAGATAACTGACATGCTTTCCTATTCAAGTCAAGGACAGTGTTTGGCAATTGGGATGACAGCTTAGGCATCATGTTTCTGGGACAATAGTTGCCACTTATGCTGTGTTAATGGTTGTTAGTAAAGCTTATGACAGTGCTGCAAAACTGCAAAACATGTAAGGTGTTGTGTTGAGTTAAATCACATTTGTAGTTGTTTTAAACCATATGTAGCCTCACCCTGTTTGCATTTGATGACAACAAACTTATTTGCAGGAACATGGTACAGCGACTCACTTACCGTAGGAGGCTCTCCTACAACACCCGGTCCAACCGGGTTAAAGTGTAAGTGCTTCATTATTTTCACCTGTGGTTTTGGGAAGTGCATGGTATGAGCTGGTAAGGTTCAACTTACTTGGCTAAAATACAAGGATACTCAACATAAAAATGCAACTGTGCTGCATTTTGCTGCATTTTGCATTTGCATTTTGCATTTTGCATTTTGCAACTGTGCTGCATTTTGAAACTTGGAGGTGTGGGGGAGAAGAGTTTTGCAAGTATGTTGTGAGCTGTATGCTTTGATGGGTCACTTTCAAAAAGTGCACTATGTGCAGAGAAGTGCAGTGTCATGCCAGGCTATGTGCTTTTATGTCAGTTGTGAGATATCTCAAATGTATAGACAGACATTAAGCTTTTATAATTTCACACATTAAAACTAAGCCACAGGAGCATATGGAGATAATGAGCATCATATGTCATAAAGCAATGTATCCTTACTATGCTGGGGTCAGGCTGTTTAACTTGCCATGCAGTTTTTAGAACCACACATTGGGACCCAGTCATGCCCATTGGTATGGGTGCGTAGTGACCCTCATTTGCAGTGTTAACATGGATGCCCACTCCTATTTTTATGTGTCATGGATTTGATCATAAACTTCTTATTCACACACAGTTTCATCTGTTTGTCATTCCCATTTTGATGCATCTGGAGCTCAGTGGAGTCTTTGAAACCACATCTCACAGGGCAGTGCCATTCTGTAATGCTGTAATGTATCATCCCCCCCCCCCCCCCATGCTCAATAGTTGTGCCTTGCGGCTGTATTGGTTTTGGGGGTGGGATGGTCCCTGCCTGCTAGGTAAGGCCACTTAGGCATCACAGCAGGGATTCTAGGAGAAAGACATCAGGTTCACTGGTGTAGACTGTTTGTTTCCCCTGAATAAACATTCTTCTGTAAATTTTGATGTTTTATGGGTAGTTTTTGTACTCAAGCAAGATTAGGTGAACAGTCACATCACATGATATTTCCTGATAATGTTGATCAGTGTCAGAAGTGTCAGCTTGGGCAGATATGCTTGCTAGCACTGGATGGTGACAGCATGTCCATGATTGTGAATGTACCCTATTGACATTGGGGTTTTTATTGTTTGCAAATTGTCCCCAACATCCTGCCATGTGCTATGTGGTTTTGTGAGGAATATGTTTTCCAATAGTCAACATTTATATGAAGGGGGAAGGGTGAGCCCCTTCCCCTTTCTAAGATAAAACACCCCACAAATTGGAAATGCTTGTACTGTTCATGAAGACATGTGTGATGGTTGGGGACCCAAACAAAGCAAGGCAATGCAGACTGAAGGCTGTGGAGTGCCAAAACCCAAATAACTATCATGCATGCTGAATGGTGACATGTCATCAGTGCTGGCACATGGCTCTTCAGGTGTCTGGCCAGGTCTGGTGGTTTTTCTTAGTTGTGTAGATGGTTAATGTGCAGTATTCATACTGCTTGTTGTGCCTGTACTGAAGACTTGTGGTGGATCAGCAATCAGTTTCTGCATGAGTGCAATGTAATGATGTCCAGAGACATGGTTGTGGAGTGACCTGGGCCATGTGTGTGACACTCCAGTCATGGAGTGCACCGGTCACTCAACAAGGGACAGGTCACTCCGCAGCACATGTCTCTGTTGCAGGCCTGTGTGCCATCACACGTGAACGTTGTGTCGTCGCGCCGCTCGTTGGTGACCGCGGTTTCGCGCAAGACGGCGGCCGCCCTGCCCCGCTTGTGAGCTGACCCGCCCCCTCCGCGGCGCGCCGCCATGGACGGCCTGGCCACGGCGTCGCGCTTCGTGCGCAAGTTCGAGTTCAGCAGCGCCGCTGAGCCGGCGGCCGAGGCGCCGCCGCTCGTCATCCGGGCGCTGGTGCCGGAGGTGATGAACCGCAGCTACGGCCTGTACACGTGGCCTTGCGCGCCGGTGCTAGCGCAGTACGTGTTCCACGAGCGGCGTCGGTTCGCCGGCGCGCACGTGCTGGAGCTGGGCGCCGGCACGGCACTGCCCTCGATCGTGGCCGCCAAGCTGGGCGCCGCTGTCGTGGTGACGGACTGCGCGCGCGCGCCGCAGCTGCTGGCCAACTGCGAGCGCGCGCTGGAGCTGAACGGCGTATCGGCGCGCGCGCTCGGCCTCAGCTGGGGCCTGGTGAGCCCCGAGCTGCTGCAACTGCCGCCGCTCGACTTCGTGCTCGGCTCGGACGTGTTCTACGACGAGCCGCTGTTCGAGGACGTGCTGCGCACGGTGGCGTTTCTGCTGGAGGCCAGCCCGCGCGCCCAGTTCGTGTTCACGTACCAGGAGCGCAGCGCCGACCGCTGCCTGGAGCCGCTGCTGGTCAAGTGGCGGCTGCGCGCGCGCCAGGTGCCGCTGGCCGAGTTCGGCGCCGACGGACCGTCGCTGGCCGGCTCCGACCTGCCCGGCAACCACAGCATCCAGCTGTACGTGGTCACCGTCCGCCAGCCGTAGCCTGCAGCCGGCCGCGGGGAGCGGAGTGCGGCTGCCCCGAACCGCCGGTCATCATCAGCTGTGTGCCACGCCGACAGTGCTGCCGCGGGCCGGGCGGTCAGCTCAGCCGTGTGCCGCGCGGATGGTTCAGCTGTGCTGGATCTGTCGGCTCGATGACCGGAGCCTGGTTCATCGCTGTGCTTCATCTGTGCCGACAGTGCTGCCCCGAACCACCGGTCATCAGCTGTGTGCGGCTGCCCCGAACCACCGGTCATCATCAGCTGTGTGCCACACCGACAGTGCTGCCCCGAACCACCGGTCTTCATCAGCTGCGTGCCACGCCGACAGTGCTGCCCGAACCACCGGTCATCAGCTGTGTGCGGCTGCCCCGAACCACCGGTCATCATCAGCTGTGTGCCACACCGACAGTGCTGCCCCGAACCACCGGTCATCATCAGCTGCGTGCCACGCCGACAGTGCTGCCCCGAACCACCGGTCATCATCAGCTGCGTGCCACGCCGACAGTGCTGCCGCGGTCGGGCGGTCAGCTCAGCCGCGTGCCGCGCGGATGGTTCAGCTGTGCTGTGTCTGCCGTCGGCCTGGACGGGCGCGGGGTCTAGCTGTGCCGCGTGGCGCGTCTAGCGGCACGCGCTGACGTTGCGCGGGGCCGACTGGGGCGGCGAGTGTTACGGCGACGTCACATCTGAGACGGCGGAGCTGCGGAGACGGCCGCGCTGGCGTGTCACCTGGTGCCCAGCGGGCTGTGTGCGCGGTGACGGGGCGTGCAGGATGGCCCGTCCCAGCAGGGGGCGGGCGCCTCGCAGGCGTTGTGGGTGCCCCGGCACTATCGCGTGTCAGTGGCGTCCGTGCGATCGCGCGGCAGAGCTCGTCCCGTCTGACTGGCCCTCGCCAGGTGGCTTTTTGTAGTTGCTCTTTTGTGAACAGCCGTATGCAGCTGGCATTGCACGTTGATGGCGTGCAGCAGATGAACTGGATATCTCTGCGAAATCTGTCACAACTGATGCTCCCAGTTTCTTTGCTGATTGGTATATGCTAGCATCGTTGACCATGAGACACCATGTTCTCACGCAACTCTGTGACAAACAGTTTTCAGACACATTTGTGTGCACCAGTTTTTTCAAACCTGAAGATGCAGCCCCTTTGTTATTGAACGTCATTGTGGAAGATAATTGCTCACTTATTCTTAAACCGTTGCAAGCTGGATTGTTGAAACTCTTGCCTGTATGTAGGCCGTCAGCTCCGGCTGAAGTGCAGCACTCGAGACCGTCGGATGCCTGGTCCTGCGGAGTCTGTTGACTCCCATCGTGCTCGTCCACAGCGCCACTGTCATTTTTAATATATGTGTTCGCACAGGTGCCCTGAAACCCGTGGCTTCGGCTGGACTCTGACCTTTATGATGAGCTGAAACAGCCAGTCACCAACCTGTCTCATGGTAGCGCGGTTTGGAGCGAAAAACACTCGCAGCGTTTCCAGTATTGGTTCATAACCTCTGCCTGTCGTTTTCCAGTGTCAAAACACCCGGTGGCCGGTTGGTGTACCACTACCGCAAGAAGCCCAGGAGGGTCCCGAGATGTGCTGACACGGGCAAGAAGCTTACCGGTGAGACGACTCCGGAATACGGAGACCGTAGCATGGCGTGACGTGACGTCATAGAGTGGCATGACACGTCTGGCAATGTGTCGTGAGGCGGTCCGGTTCTGTGCACTACTTCAGTGTGGCCGAGTTTGCTCCTGTAATACGTTCTGTGCTAGTATGTGGTTTATTTAGTCAACGGCGTACGTTTTATCCCTTTTATAAGCAATTGCTATGTACAAACGCGAGCTTTTTGGCCGATGTCTGCTTGATCTTGCGCCGCGGTATATTTGTCGTGATACCTTTGACGTGGGCAGTGGTCTAATCCAATGCGTCTAGTTTCGGGGGTTGGTTGGATAGTTGCCGTTCGTTTCCAACGTGTTGTCGCCGCACGCCATGACGTCATGATGACGATGTGACGTCACTCGGCAGGCATCCGGTCGGCGCGTCCCCATGAGAAGCGTCGCATGAAGAAGAAGCACAAGACGGTGAACCGGACGTACGGCGGCGTGCTGTGTCACAGCGCCGTGCGGGAGAGGTGAGCCCGGCCGATGTCGGCCCCCGCGCACGCCTGTGTGGCGCTCACTGGCGCGCGACGCGTGGCGGCAAACCCACTGCAGTGATGCAAGATCCGGGGCTATTGAGTCCGGGGTTCTGGCACGCTCCTCTCTATCCGAGTGATGACGTCGATGCGTTCGTGGCGACCAAATGCGGCCAGGTGGTCACATAGCGATTGATGTGTTAATTGGCGGGAGCCGCTAGACGTCCATAACTGGCGGCCTCTGAGCCGGTCGTCTGTGTATGCTGGGCTTGACCGCCGTGTCCGCCGTTGCAGGATCATCCGTGCCTTCCTGGTGGAGGAGCAGAAGATCGTCCGGAAGGTGCTCAAGGCCCAGCAGGCGTCCGCTAAGAAATAAATTACACCTCAGACACTCCTCACGTGGCGTTTTATGTTTGGTTGTGGCGTGGAGAGAAGAACGAAAGTGGGCTGAAGAACAGCCTTTTCAATGAGCGTTGAAATTACCACCAGCCAGAGGCGGCTATACACTCAAACGTTGAACCGGTGATACAAGCGTTGCTGATAAGATCGTGGCTCGGTGGCTTATGTTCGTTTGGTTACGGAAGCGCGCTGGGAGGGCGGCACCGGCCCCTGGCGTTCGGTATGTGTAGTATGCGGAGTTGAACATGCGCTGCGGGCTATGCTGGGGCGCCGCACAGCTGCTACACAGCACACGGTAAGCTGGGGACGGTCCTGGCTGCGCGCCATGACAGACGGGCTACCGGTCCTTTTCTCATCCGTTCGGAGCCGCTGTCGTCCCCTGCTCCGACGTTGGCGCGCTGCGAGTCGCGTGTCTCGCGGAGCGGCACCTTTCCTGTACAGTGCTGTCATCTATAACAGCGAGACTCCAGAGCTGGCAGTGTTCTGTCAACGTCTGCGGACGTGGTGTAAAGACTTCTTTATGTCTGGGAAGACGAAGATCGCTCAGTGTGACGCTTCGTACGCGGGAAATACGCGAATACGACAGTTCCTTTTGGGCGACATTCCCCATGGTGGGTTCAGCCATTTCGGCAGGGCATGTGAAGAGCACGTCCAGTGATTCCAGAGGATGCGCCGGCAATTATCCGATCTCATGCAAGGCGTTGGACGACCAACTGACGTTTGGTCATGACATGTGTCATTCGTGCTGTGTCACGGAGGGCTGTTGGTCTGGAGCGATGGTAGCATGGCCAGTGCAGCTGCGGTTCGATGTTCTGACTGGTGCGGATTCGGTCGCCACCGTCTTCTCCGGCCCCGATCGTATCGGGTGGGAGGCGAACCGAAGACCGAATCAGGTACGAAGCGAGAAATGGCGAGTTGCGAGACTGGTCTGGTCTGAACCATGTCGGCAACTGGAAGCCATATTCAGGCTCATCAGAAACGGGTGCAATTTTCCACGTGACACGAATGAGACCTATGGCCTCACAGTGATCATGTTACATGGAGACAATCTAATGCGCGGAAGCCGCAGCCCCTACCGCCGTCTGCCGCTTCACGATAAGTCTGCCCTGGGCAGTCTGAACCAGCCCGCTCAGTCATGGTCCAGTGTGGGCCGCGTTCAGCTGGCAGCCGGGCAGGCGGTGGCCGAATGCAGCAGACGGCACTTTGCCGATTGGGGCCGACTTAATGTAAGCAGGAAGCACCCAGGGATCTTGTTTTTTTCTCGGCAGCGCGAGTTTCGGATATTTTTTTGGCAACAATTGACAAACGTCCCGTTGACAGTTGGCAAATTGGCCACTAATTGCTGATAATGCAGTCGGCTGTTACACACAAAATGTCACATGGGTACACGGTCCCAGGTGGGGAAATCTAGCCCGTCGTCATTAAAACTGCAAACCATTCGAGCCTCTAGTGCTGGGCCAGAAAAGATGGCCCCCCAGGGCAGGGTCAGCGGTTGGGGAACAAGTCGGGGAGGTCACAGGTCCAGCGGTCAGTTCCGGCACTGCCGTCTCGCACGGGAGGCGTCGGCAGGACCGCCGCCGTTCCGCCCGCCGCAGGGCTTTCCTGCGAGAATCAATACCGTCTCTGTGTCGGCGCGGTAAATAGAAACCGCGCCGCACCCAAACTGCGCCGCTGGGCGAGCTTCAGGCCGGACCGGTGCGGCCGAGTCCCGACGGGGCCGTGTTGGCCGGCATCGGCGGGGACAGCAGTGCTGTTAGTTGTGAAAGCACCTCTGGACGGCGCGGCCGGCGGGGCCGAGCGACATCAATGCGTGAGTAACGAGCGACGTCTGGCGGGGACTGCACTGTGGACATCAGCGTCGATGGGTGATGGGACGGCAGCTGAAGATATCTGCTACGCTGGGTGCGATGCTAAGCACCTAAGAAGGCATGTCGTCCGTCGACCACTTTGTTAAGTGTTGGACACGGCGTTGGCGCCCGCGGCGCTGAACAAGCGCCGAACAAAATCTGACTAGTCCGAAGTCGCGACAGCCGGACTTGCACAAGTCGCCCAGTGACAAAGTGTTTGCCCTTCTAACTGTTCGCTGTCATTCAGGGTGAGGCGATCACTACGCTGAAAGTTCAGAAGAGCGCAAATAAACGTCTGAAAGAAGGCTCAGCGCTGGTGACGAGAATTGTGCAAAGGTGGACTGCGAACGCTGCGTGTTATTCGGCGACGATTTCGGCGCTGTGTTGGGCAGTGTCTGAGCCGGACCAGCCGTCTGAGCCGGACCAGAGCCTGGGTGGTCAGTTGAGCAGACCACACCACGTCAGGACCTGAGCCGCCGCCTGCTCTGTTAGTGTCTGGCCCAACACCGTCCCGTCGTCGACATCTCTGGTCGTGCCCGGCGTCTCGGCCTCCGCTCCTCAGCTGCCGTCAGCGCCTCGGCCTCCGCTCCTCAGCTGCTGTCAGCGCCTCGGCCTCCGCTCCTCAGCTGCCGTCAGCGCCTCGGCCTCCGCTCCTCAGCTGCCGTCAGCGCCACGGCCTCCGCTCCTCAGCTGCCGTCTGCGCCTCGGCCTCCGCCCCTCAGCTGCCGTCAGCGCCTCGGCCTCCGCTCCTCAGCTGCCCTCAGCGCCTCGGCCTCCGCTTCTCAGTCGTCGTCGGTGCATCGGTCTCCGCCGCTCAGCTGCCGTCAGCTCCTCGGCCTCCGATCCTCAGCTGCCGTCAGCGCGTCGGCCTCCGCTCCTCAGTCGTCGTCAGTACATCGGTCTCCGCCGCTCAGCTGCCGTCAGCTCCTCGGCCTCCGATCCTCAGGTGCCGTCAGCGCGTCGGCCTCCGCTCCTCAGTCGTCGTCAGTACATCGATCTCCGCCGCTCAGCTGCCGTCAGCTCCTCGGCCTCCGATCCTCAGGTGCCGTCAGCTCCTCGGCCTCCGCTCCTCAGCTGCCGTCAGCGCCTCGGCCTCCGCTCCTCAGTCGTCGTCGGTGCCTCAGCCTCCGCTCCTCAGCTGCTGTCAGCGCCTCAGCCTCCGCCCTTCAGCTGCCGCCAACGCCTCGGCTTCCGCTCCTCAGCTGCCTTCAGCTCCTCGGCCTCCGATCCTCAGCTGCTGTCAGCGCCTCAGCCTCCGCCCCTCAGCTGCGGTCAGCGCCTCGGTCTCCGTTCCTCAGTCGCCATCAGCGCCTCGGCCTTTGTTCCTCAGCTGCGGTCAGCGCCTCGGCCTCTGCTCCTCAGCTGCGGTCAGCTCCTCGGCCTCCGCTCCCCAGTCGTCGTCAGCGCCTCGGCCTTCGCTCCTCAGCTGCCGTCAGCGCCTCGGCCTCCGCTCCCCAGTCGTCATCAGCGCGTCGGCCTCCGATCCTCAGTCGCCGTCAGCGCCGACAGCCAGGGCGTCCATGTAAAGCGACTTCCTCTGGCCGCTTACCTAACCGGACGACCTTGGTCCGCCCCGGCGGCTCCACGCCCTCCGGCCGGCAGCCATGCGCCTGGTGCATCAGCTGTTCCTCACGTGTGACGTGCTGTTCGTACTGTTTGTCGTGCTGTGCGGCCTGCTAGCGCTGGCGGTGTACCTGCGCAGGTCACCACCACCGGCCCCCAGGGACCCCGCCGTCGTGCAGGACGACACCAGCGCCCTTCTGGACGATAGCAACGCCGCAGAGGTGTGACGCCACAGGCTGGGGCGTCATCGATGGCGTCACACCGGCTCGGCTGCGTGGCGAGGTTGCCAGAGGTTGACTCGCGCTCGATGGCGCCTGTGCTGATTTCGTGTTGTGTGATAAATAGTGAGCATCGTTGTCGGCTCGCCGCACCCACTCTCTTACCCTAGTCAGCCTATTCATTTGATAGATGTGCCATCGGATGTCTGTCGTAAATACGGTGGGGGCGCACATTCTGTGTGACATCACATCGGCTTAACTGGGATGGGGACGGTAATGGCATGTATAGAATCAGATTAACTCCAAGCTGACCTCGCTGGAGCAGTCGTCGAATAAAGTACTCTGAGCTCGCAGGCATCCCGGCTTCCTCAGCGCAGGCAGCTAAAGCATGGAGGAGTCGTAGCACAAACCGCGGATGGAGTGCTGGTATCGTTGAGGGTTTGTTGGTTTTCCTTCTGTTGTTTTGACCCTGCGCCACTTTAACTAAAAACCGATCGCTGACGGCGGCGATCGCTGCTTTTAACATTACTCGGTGTCTCGAACCGAACACTGGAGGGTAGATGATGGTAGACGACAGGATGAACTAATGGTAGATGATAAAACTGCGGGTCTGGTATCGACCCGTGAGGATCACAAGGAATGGTTGGTTTCATCGTCATTAAGGTTACGCAATCACTTCCTGAGGCTGTGAAGTATACGGCGTCGCCCGCCCTGCCCGGAGAGGCGGACACCGCGTGGAATTGAGCTCTGTGCCTCTAGTTTCCCAGACGCGCAGCGTAGCCACGACGCTGTCGAAACCCCACAGCTGGCTTCAGGGATTGCTGTTGCTAGCAATATCCAAACACGTGCTGGCTGTTTGCTCGAAATGATATGATAATAACAATCATCAAACGAAGGGTATGCACATCGTAGTATTGCTGTTGTACGTGTTTGCCTTGCCTACTTGGATGAAAACGCAATTCTCTTTATTCTGTTACAACTGAGGTTTTAAAAATTGCATAAAAGTATAGGATTCTTACAAAAATTATGCTCTCATGAGCCTGCAACATAGCGTCGCATCACATACGGATTGTAACAATTATACAGGTTACAATAGTTGGAATGCAACCAGCCAACCAAAGCACATAGCCTTGAAAAACAAACTGCTGTAAAAAACAACAACTGAAGTCTGTTGAAAAGATACCTATAGCACGCTTTTAAAAAGGTGCGGGCAAGCAGAGCCCGCACCACCTAGCATGCATCGATCCCAGTGCACGTCAGATATGCAGTGTCTGCTCAACGTAGCTCATGCTAACCCCAGTGCACGTCAGCTATGCAGTGTCTGCACAACGATGCTCATGCTAACCCCGGTGCACGTCAGATATGCAGTGT